GCTGTGATTATGTATGATTACCTATATAATTTTATCTGATTGCTATATTGACCTCACGAGGTAGGTTTCTTGGCATCAGTTTCACAGTTCAGCAAACGAAGGCTCAGGCCAAATGCATTGCCCAGGAGCACCCGGCTAAGAGGTGAAGAAGCCGTCAGTCCCAGTGTGGTGAGCTCACAAGCTCATCTGTCACCTCCCAAGCTCTGCTGTCACCAGGGGCCTCTGGGACCTGCTGAGATGCAATGCTTTGTGGTTCTTCTGATGACTTCGGAAGGGGTGTGCAAGGTCACATGTTCGGGGGCTGGGGGGCTGCCTCCCATTATAACTCATGAGAGTTCCTTTCTGACCCTCATTTTAAGTTCGTTTTACATCACACGTTTTAAGGTTTTGGGGTGTGTGTGTGTGTGTGTGTGTGTGTGTGTTTGTAGAGTTAAAATACACTTTCCCAAGGTTGGCGGCTCAGATGTAGACTTTTAGACACTGTTTGGCTTGGCACAGCTTCCAAATGTCTCCTAGCCACTGTTGCTCTATATTTCTTTTTGCCAGGACATAGATCAGAAATAACTCAGCTGTGAAAAAAAATGAGAAGTTTGCCGGCAGCCCGTGAAGAAGATGAATTGCTGGAGGGCTATTTTTCCCCCTTGAGTCAGAAGTGTGAAGGTAGGTGGGAGAAGGAGCAAGGTTTTGAAAGACCCGTGTATATTTAGGGACCAGGATTGCTTCCATTTTAAGAAAGATGAGGGTTGCAGCATCCACGCTCCATCAGACAGTCCAGCGCTTTCCTGCCAGGCTCCTGACGCCCGTCGGTTGGGCCTTCTGGTTAGGGCTGCTGAGATCCACAGGCCCCAGCTTTGGTTGGTGTGATTCCAACTGGCAAGAAGTATTTTCATTTTGTGGCATGAAAACTCTTTTTTTTTTGCAGGTCAGTTTTGAAGCTTTCTGTGACCATATCCCGGTTGAAATGCATTCCACGGTACAGAGGGGAAGCTGTGATTAACAGCGGGGTGACGTGCAAATACGTGCTCAAACGCCATCATCACAGCCGCCATTCCGCCACTCAACTCTCTCCAGACATCTCTCAAGAGTCTGCACCGTTTCACGGCCACATCAAGATCGAGAACCCCGAACTCTCCCTTCCTCCTGGCTGCAGACGCAACGGCAACAGCGACCCACAGGTACGTCTGTGAATACGCTCTTGTGTGCGTTGAAAGAGAAGTGCAGACCCAAGGCCAAGGCACGCTCTGGAAAGTTCTCAGAGAGAGCTTCTGTTTCTGGCACTTTGCCAGATTTGATACCTTGAATCACTCCCCTGATTATAACCAAAATGCGGGATAAAATATTGCTTTAATCTTTTTTTTTTTTTTTTTAACACATTGCTGAGTTAGCATGAATGCAAGAGTGATGGATTTGCAAAACGGAGCAAAGGTGGACGCCTTGGAGACTTTGAGCCTGTGTTTCCATAGCTGTGTGAGGTGCAAGGAACAGGAGACAAAGTCTGGGCTTCACCCGAGGTGGGATGTAACAGGAGACCTCTTCAAAGCCAGAGTCCAAAAGGTCTATGTCTAGAGTGTCAGAAAGAATGAAAAGCAAATCCCACCCCGCAGAGGAGAACAGAAAGGAAGCTTGCCTGCCCTGACCTTGACATTGGGTTGAGAGAAAAATATCTCCACTGAGAAGCTGTAACCACAAGCTGGCCCTCACGTGATTTTCAGTTTGAATTCCTGCTACTTGTGTGGTTCAAAAACACTGAAGTTGAAAATTCAAACTGGCCCCTGCTTGATAGTACCTGCAGTCAGCTTGCAGATGCAAGCCTTAAACTTTCCTCGAGGAATTTTAGCTGCCATCTCAGCCTTATAGAAACATCCACAAATTTCCCAAGAAAATGAGCAGCTCACAGTGAAAAATAACAAACTCCACAAGGAAAATAAGACCAGCAGAAACAAGAGACAGAGGTGGAACCTTTGAGCTTTCAGGTTTGAAATGATCACGTGCAGAATATATATTTAAAATAACTATTTTTATGTTTTCAAAGAATTAAAAGAGAAGTTTGAAATATGAACAGGGAATAACAGAGTACAAGGAACAACCAGAGCTGGGCGCGGTGGCTCACCCCTGTCATCCCAGCACTTTGGGGGGCTGATGGGGGTGGATCACTGAGGTCAGGAGTTTGAGACCAGCTTGGGCAACATGGTGAAACCCTGTCTCTACT